GGACTAGGATCCCAGCACAGCCCCTACTGTGGACAACAGCTGCACCACAAAATGAGGCCATGGTTGAAACCATTGTTTGATTGTTTGTTCGTATTTGCAGGGGAATCATCCTTCCAGGCTTTCTTAGGTGGTGCATTAATTCACCCGGGCTTGATTCAACTGGAGCTCGCCTGAATCTGCTTGAGCCAAGCAAAGCAGGCCTCAGCCCAGCTTCTGGCCCGCGTAGCGGGGATGATGGATATTTTTCCGGCACATGACAAGCATGTTTCGGAAACATGCACATGTGTGTCGGACAAGCGGTGAACAGACCTCTAACATTTGTGATGTGGAGCGTGTTGTTGAAATTCAATTGATGTTTGTTCCAACGAAAGCTAAACGAGCGGAATCAGTTGTAGCAGTTCCCTAAGAAAGCCTTGCATGCCGTTTTGAACCGCCTTCAAACATCTTGAAGGGCCACCATTGGGTCAACTCACTCTGTAGGTGTTCGCAGGGGACACCCAAAGACATGGCTCGCTTGCTTGCCGGCTGTTCCCCCCCACCAAACGCGGATACCAAAGCAAGAGACACACCCGCCAACACAAATATATCTTTTTTTCCCATGTTCCAAATCCTCCCCCTTGTTTCAGGGCGCCGTTGGAGTTGGGACAAAAGAGTTCCTTGAGCGGCTCATGGGATGTTAAATTCCTAAATGGGTGAGGTTTTCTTTGACAACGCACCGCACAAAACAGAAAACACACACACAAAAAGGGACTGCCCCATTTCCGGGTGTTCCAACATAAAACGAGGGCCCGTAAAGCGAGGGCCCCGTCCCCTCCCCCCCCGCCGCGCGGTTTACGTGCATGTCCCACTCCAAGCAGGGTGGGGCAAAATTGGTTCAAACAACCAATCCACGGCTCCTTTCTAGGGAAACCTACAGGGGATGTTTAGACCAGAGGTGTTTTTACCCATGTTTTTCAGCGCGCGTGGTTGGCCCCCTGACGCCTGGCTCCAATTTTCTTGCGCGGGCTTGGGCTTAAGGCACGTGGACTGGATCGTGGACGCGAGCGATCCGCAGCTGGAGCTGCTGGGCCAGCGGGTGGCCACGGGGCTTCTCTTCTTGGACGACCTGCCCAAAGGCCTCGATCTCGGGGGGTCTTGGGGTCTCGGGGTCTCGGTCGGTTTTGGTCGGTTTTGGTCGGTTTTGGTCGGTTTTGGTCGCTTGAGGGGTTGGGGGGTTGGGTGGTCTCGGTCGGGCCTTCTCCTTCTTTCCCCCTCCCCCAAAGAATTTTCGCTGCGTCGAACAGACACTCTGCGCTATCGCAAACCGCAAAAAGGTTGGGAAATCCCCGAAATGGCCCCTTGGTAAAAGGAAGACAAAAGGCGAAGTAGCTGCGTTTTGAAACCAAGCTCTTTGATTTTGGGCCGCCAGTTTGGATCAACTTCATGCGCCGTCTCAAAATCGGGGAACCTCCAAAATGCAGGATTGTCCTTTTGGTTTCCCTCAAAAACCATCCCCAAAAAACTGGTCTCAAAAAAGACAGACCCAACCCAGGCCTTGGCAACCCCACCTTTTTGAAGGTACAGCCATGAGAGAGGCACGTTTGTGTACAACCCCACCTTCGGGTGGCCGAGCTACGCATCTCTTGCGCAGCTTTGGGGTATCCAAACCGTGTTTGGTCTCGGTTTTTACGAGACGGCTGGGCTCTATGAAGGCTCCAACAAAAAAGCTCAGGAAAACACGCAATGCATTTGGGCTTGTCTGAAATAGTGGAACCCTCAAATGGGTGGTTGTCCTTGTGGTCTCCCAAGCCCATCAAAGAAGGGTACCATTCTAGATATGTATATATATATATAAATAAACACCCTGGGATTCAAACCACCATTAAGACAATTTGGGTTCGTTTCATCACCAGTGTTTACCCAAGGCTTGTCGTCCAGATTGGGTCCTTGCCATTTTTCTCCTCAGGCGGGAAAGGAGCCCTACAGCACACACACTTTTTTTTGCAGGTTCGGTGGGAAGAAACCGGCATGTCCCTTCGTAGGCGTCGGAGGAGAGACGGACTTCCCAGCACTGGGCCTGGCAGTGACGCCCATGACGGGCACAGCGCAGCTCGACGATCCGAAGTCGACGTCGAAGCGAAGCCATGGTTTGTTACGCTATCTACGTTGGGGAATCGAGCAAGGTATTGAAGATGGATGATGGAAGGCCCAAAAATGGTATTGCAGGGTTTCTGAGCCATGCTTCAATTGTGGCGATGGTTTCAATGGAAACCAGTAGATTGATCAACTTAAGGGGGACTCCAGGGAACCCTTGTGAAGCTGCACGAAAGCCAGTCGGCAAAGTCTTTGAAAGAAAGAGGATATAATACTTTATTAGAGACACAAAAACATATTGTACCTATAGATTTGAGAAATAACAAAATAACAGGAAAATATGCAGCGGATACTTTAGAAACATGTGGAACTATAGTAAATAAAATATGTTTCCTTTTGACAATGTTTCTCCATTTGTAACTTCTGAGTTTGTTCAAATCCCGGGTTGACATTAACCAGGTCGGACACCAACACAGGACGGATATTTTTCTCATTTCTCCACAAACCCTACTTGGTGTTGCGGGTGCTCATGCTTGGAGCTTGCCGGTGTCGCCCCCGAGAGCCTAAAAAAGCGTGAGCCCTCACTCCATATTTTTTGGAGTTGCTCAAGAAGCTGCCTTCGCTTCACAAACCAAGGGTGCTCTATTGCGGTGATTGGCATGGATTCAGGTGTGCTTAGCATTTCGGATCGGTGTGTGCTTTTGAAGCCTAAGTACCCTGGAAGTTTTGTCCGGAAGGTGAGGCTAAGGAGAGGGTGGGCATTGACTCTGCACCAAAAAACCTCCGTCCTGTTTGAGTCATGCTTAAACACCACGCCACTCAACGGGGATCTATCTCCTGACAGGCCAAGAATTGTTGGTTTGTTCTGGTATTCCCTAAACATTACCCTCCTTGCCACTAAGAAAAACCAGGTCCCCCAGCATTGCCCTTTTACCCTTTTTTGGGGGACCAGAAGAAAGCTTAGCCTTATTCTATCCTCTCGACTCTCTACTTAAGAAAAAAAAGCCACTGGCGCCTGACAGAGGTTTCCCCAGGAAACCGATCCCAGTGGCCCTCAAGGTGCTTCGTGTGTGGGAAATGTATCGTCTAGGGCCACCGCGGAAGCGGCGCAAATCGATCTGCAGGTTGCTGTGGCCCAACGTGGATGCGGATGGCCGGCCCCTGCCAGAGATGCCGCGGGGCTCTCGATTAGTCTTTCCCCGCAAGTGGGTGGCTCGTCGATGGTTTTCCCTTTGGTTTCTCAAAAAGAATAGGGATGCCGCCCCCCAAAAAAACAACAACAACAACAACAACAAAATGACACCCAACTGTTTTGGAGGACCCTCTTGCAGATTCCAGGTTTGTTTGTTTTGTTTCCCTTTCCCTCTTTTGGGGGTGGGGTGAGTGGGAGCCGCGATTGATCAGCTTCCCTTGCCTGGCCGTTATTTCGCCTGTAAAGCATGCGCCCTCCCTGGTTTATGGTTTTCCCCATCACTGCTTTTTAGGCGGTTCATGTGCATGTGTTTGCTGCATTTTGTTTAAATTGCAAAAGCCCAGGGAAGATTTGTCTACTTGCACCGGGAAAGTCCTGGCGCTGAGTCTGACGTGCACTGGAGAATCGCCCCTTTTGCAATCCAGAAGTGTTGTGATTGAATTGCAATTTTTCGGCAATTCCAAGGTGGAGCCTGGGAAATGAGGTTGTAGGGCCACTTTCTATACTAAAATTCCCTTGAAAGAGGTCCGAAGATTCACTTGGAAGCCCCAAAACCTCGTCGTGCTTTTTGGGACCTCCCCTTTTGGCTTGGGGAGATGGTACGTTTTCCACACATACCCTTCAGACTGAGGATCCATGAAGGAGTGCCACTGAAAGAGCGGGAGAAGGTGGTGGTGAATGCTGCCTGGCGAAGTCAACGTTGACGTCCATTTCATTGGAGCATTGGAGGTGGTTCTACTATTTGGCTTGAGGTTTCTGAAGTTTTTTGGTTTGGTGCAAAACAAAAACCTCGCAGCCACGGCTACGAACCAACAGTCGTGGCTTTGGGGTGCTGCTCAAGGCGCAGCCGCTCCGCAGCGTCATCCAAACCACTCTCACCTGTCCACACTTTTAGGAGAACTGGACGGGGCATGTGTCAAAGTTCGGCGCCCTCATCTGGTCGCCCTCCTTTTGGTTTCTGCCAGAAAGATCAAATACGCAAGAGTCAGGTGAGGGAAATGGGGCGCATTTGGGCGAGAATATGTCAAACGTTGTTTGTTGCCTTTTCTCGTTTTCTGTCCGAAATTTTCCAAATGAGTTGTAATGGAAGAAGGGGGTTGGACTAAAGTAAGATAGATGTCTTATTTTGGGATCCAACCCTTCCCAACTTTACTGCAACGGGGGTTTTACCAAAAGCTGATGTTGAATCTGGACGTCTTCGCCCCTTCCCATCTGCCGCACCAGCTCGCCTCGCGAGCGAATGAGCGAGAGGTCTGGGTGCGGGACCGGCCGCTGCCGACGGACCCCGCGATCCTGGAGAACCTGCTCCAGTCGTAGCGCTCGAGAAAAAGCCGGGCGAACGCGCGCGCGCGCGAGAAAGATACATAAATGATACATTTTATCATCATGTATTTTTTTGATGTTCGTTTAAATTTTATATGTTTCTTGGCGGCGTCCGAGGCCGAACAACGGGGGGGAATGCAGCTGGATCCAGAGGCTGAAAAGCTGGTCAAGGGGATAGGGGCCCAAGAATGACAATAGTAATAGCGACGAATAAGGCTTACTAGGGGCTAGGGATTTTGCTGGGTGCCTTTTTTGGGGTTCCCCTCCTGAGAGTGGCTGGGGGATAGTTTTAGCCTTTTAGGCAACACCTTTGGCAGCAGGGTGGGCGGCCCTCGGTGTCTTTGCCAGAAGAGGACATTAATCCCAGGCGGCCACCGTCCAGCAGCTTTGCTTCCGATGGATTTCCAGTCAGGACTTCTGTGAGCGCTTCTCACTAGACGATCGCCTGCAGCCACGGCCTTGGCTGTCTCATAGGTGTCCTTTTTGGTTGTTTCGGTCGAAAATGCATGGCGACGCCTGGTTGACCCGTTTTTTTTTGTGTGTTTTATTTCTGCCAGGGATCTATCCGTCCATTTCCAACCAACAGCACCCCCTATGTTTGCAGGCCTCCGTGTGTCTTCTTCTTTGCGCGGGTCCCCCCCCCCCCCCCCCCCAAACGACGACGTCCGATGCCCGGTCCGGTCCGAGCGCCCGGCCCGAGGAAGCGGGTGATGGAGACCTTGGCCAAGCGCCTGGACTCCTTCACCCAAGACCTCTCCTCCCTGAAGCAGGCGCGAGGAGAATGAACTGGGTCCCCCCCCCGCAGCGAGGGGTGCCGTGCCCTGCCTCTCACCCTTGGGACTTGGGGGAAGGTTTTTTCTAAAGTAGACCACAGAAAAAAAAAGGTTGGTACCCTTATTCAAACCTCAAACTACTGGAGGACCTGGGCAAGCTTTGTTTTTTTCGCCTCGGTCCTGTGGGGGGGGGGGGTGATTTAATCGCGAAGCCCTATTTTTCGAGGGGTGAGTTCCTCTTCCATTCTTTTCAACCATCGCTCTTTCCAAAAACCGAATCCGTTTTCCCTGAGTTTCCGGAGGTGTTCTGGAAAGAAGGATCCCTGGAAAGAATGGGGAAGGTACCCCTAGAGTTTTCGCCTCGTTCCTGTTGGCGGGGGTTGATTTCATCGCGAAGCCCAGTGGATCTGCCGATGTTTTGTGACGCGAGCTCACCGACTTCGGCGGCATAAAGAGCGAAAGCCATGACAAAGGTCCTGTGCTTGGGGATCCCTTCATTCAGCACTCAAGAACTTTCCAGTGTCAGGTTGGGGGTTCGGATATTCGGATATTCGGACTTGAACGGGTCCCTGGCTTGGAGGCTTAAATGGGGATTACCCCTTCCGGAACTCCACCAAGCCACCGGTTCGGCTGCAAGCCACCAATTGGAGGGAAGCTGATGCTTCGCCTCGAAGTTCCTGTCCTCGGGGGGTTGCTTTGGAGAATCCCCATTGGCCGATGTTTGAAGGGATGCGAGGCATAGCCGTATTCAGGGGGTTGAACTCAGTTGGAGGCCTTGGGTGAAGAGCAAACGGTTGATAAGCCTTTAAGACACCCTCGAGTCTGCCTTCGGCTGGTCACAAAATGGAACGCGCAATTTCATGAAGGTCCTTTGGGAAGGGCAACATCCCAAACAAGCGAAAGCCAAGAACTCATATTTTCCCCGCTCCAATGAGACGTGACCGCGTATGTCCCACATGCCTTCCACCAATTTGGGATCTTGGGGTGGGGGTCCCGCATGTGCTTAGCAAGCTTTCATGTTGATTGCGAAGCTTGCATTGAGGACAGGCTGGGTGAATGTACCCAGAAAAGCCATGGGACATCGGCGGCACTTTCCGGTTCGGCTTTCTTTTGAGGGACCTGTGCACATGTCCTCGCTCAATCATTACTTGCGCAATGCTACAAGCAATGTGGGCAGTGGGCATTCGCGACCTTTCATGATAGATATGCCACCTAGTACCCACCAAACATGGAAGTACACGGGCCCCGTTTCCAAAAAGCAACCCAATCTTCCAAAGGCGGTAAACGTCGTGAGTTTTTCGTTGCGCAGCCCGCCGTTTCACTCCGACCTGAGACCATGGAAACGGCGCGAAATCCGCCCGGGCGGCATGCTCAGAATTGGGCCTGGCATGTGGGTTTCACTGTCGGTTTATTTGGGGTCCAGGCTCCGTGGTGAAAGGGAATCAGGATTAATCAATCCCTGTGTTTGACTAATAGGTGGGTGTTTCATTGAAGAGGGATTTGTTGGGAAACGCCCAGATTGCTCCATTCGGGGTCGATATTGGGCAACCTGCTCAGGGGGAATCTCCCGTTTGTAACTTTGAATTGAGGGCCCTTAGACTTCTAGACTGGCGTTCAATATTGCGCAGACTAGCAGATAGTGTTTTGCTTAAGACAAACAAAAGAACAGAAAACAACACAGCTATTGCAGTTCGGATATGGATGTTTAACGTCGGATCACGTTCTATATCCTTCGTGTTGTGCTTGTGTGCTCCTTGCGCTCTCGCTTGACATAGTTGCTAGAATCCACAGCGGCCTCCGCCAAGTATTGGGCCAACTTGATGCACCAGGCGCTTGTGACTTGCGGGTTGTGTCGCACTCCCAGTGCCGTGCCATCCTTTGGACCTTTGTCCCTTTGGCCGAGCTTCCCTTTCGAAGCGTTGGCAAGAGGCGGAGAAGGGTCCGTTTCCCCCCCCCATTGCCACTGGGCGATTGGATCCCCAAGGATTCGACCCTCGGGTGCCTTTCTCGGGGCCGGCACTGGCCTCTCGCCTGGGGATGGGTTTCTAAGACGCTGCACGTGGCAGCGAGGTTGCTGAGTGTAAAGCTTCGGGAGATGGAGGATGGCACCTTCGTGGCCAAAGGCAGCGACAAGGCGCGCCGCGCGCGCCGCCGCGACTTCGAGTTCCGTCCGCCCCGGCTCTCAGATGTTTTGTTTTGGGGTTCTTCAAAGAGGAAAGGATACCTGCCACGAGAATGGTTACGGCTTTCCCTTTGGTTTCAATACTCAACGAAACCGGGGCTCAGTTCAGAGAAACTGCAGGCACACCCAAATTGTTGGTGGTTTTCCCTTAACACCAGTCGATTATTCTGCGATTGTCGCCCCGCAGGCTTTGTTTGGGAAACCACCCTTTCTGATTTTGATACCCCCTACAGTCAAATAATGACAGGGAACATCCATGCAACTGGGTATGGGTCAAGCTTTAGCCACCAGGAGACAGCAGGTGTTGGTCCTTGTTTCCGTTTACCAGTGCAAGCCATTTGGGAATTGCCCATTTTTGACCCACACCCAAAAAAGGGTCCAGAGTGAAGATTCTGAGATGGAGCTCCCCATCTCAAAGTTCGATTTTGGGCCTCGGAGCCTGGGTGGCTTGCCGTTTCTAAACCCCATGGCCTCGAAAAGCCCGATTTTTTCTTTTTCGTGGGTTTTCGAATGCTTCGCCTCCAACCTCCCCCCCCCTAAAAAAAATCCACAAAAGCTGTGGACACCTGTTGCAGGGCCGTCGAGTTTCAACCAAACCTTCTGGTGCACTGCAGCTTCTTCTCCGTTCTAATCGGTTCCCCGCCGTGCAAAACGGAGTGGAGAGCTGGTTGGCACAGGTTGGACTCGGGAACACACTCGCGACAGAGCACCTCCGCTTGTTTTCTGTCTTTGAAGGAGCCATTATCTGATGCCGAGCGAGAATCAAGAAACTGGTCTCAGATCAAATGAAGTTTTTTTTTTTTTTGGTGCCACTAAACGCCGAGCGAGAATCGGTAAACCAATCTGAGATGAAACGAAGGCATTGACATCGCCCATGGGCTTGGTGTTCCCATGGGCGGGATTCGAGTGACGCCTTCGCGCCAGGGCAAGGGAAAGGCTGCGGACTCAGCCAGTCACAGCCAGTCGGCGTGGAACTTGTGCAAGAAGGATGCCAACCACAAATTTCCATTCTTGGATCTATGTAACTCTTTTTTTGCCCACAATTTTCATGCTTGGATCTATGTAACGTTTTTGCTTTTTGTTTGTTCCAAGTTATTCCCTTGCAATATTGAGTTGCTCTCCACCTTTGAGCTTTCCCCAAATAGTCACACAACTGCAGTCCGGCATTAGTGCGAAAAGCGGAAAAGGGACCTGAAACGGCGGATCAGGCATCCATCAGAGGGGTCCCTCAGTTTTGCATTTGTCTGGGACCTCCGAAAGTGGCGAGTTGATTGGAGCCCAAAATCCTGTGACCCCCGTCAGAAGAAACGCGGCTGACACATCTCCGGTTTGTGACTTACAGCGATTCGCCCAGCGGGATGGACGCTTTGGCCCCTGCCGAATAGTCGGTCGGCATGAGCGTGATGCTGAGGGCGGCTTTGGAGGCGGGGAGTTGCGAAGAGTCCACTTTGGGAGCTGCTGATATTGGTTTTTGTGATGCTGAGCTCATGAGCACCTGCCTGTGTTAGCAGAAGACTACTGCAATGCTGAAGCAGGTGCAACGTGAGGTAGGAACCCCCCCAACACGAAGAAGGGCCATGACTGATATCGGTCAGCTCTTCGCGCGGTTTGCGCTGCGGGGATGCATATCTCGAGCCCCGTAAGTTGTCATGGGCCGGGCCTGAGGTTCATAGACACCTGAGCCACAAACAAAACTTGGGTAGACGAAGGTTGAGGGATAGTCCCAGCCATATAGGTAGGGCCACCCTTTTAAGTCTTTCCGTGGTTCTGGGGATTGACAACGATTGGTTTTGATTGTGACTCGCCTTTGCCATCAGAGCTTCTGTAGGCTTCGGGAAGGGAAAGGACAAGGACGGCGGCAAGGACGGTGGCAAAGACTTCGGCAAGGACGGCGGCAAAGGTGGCAAAGGCCGGGAACTGCTTTTGTCCAAGTTTAGCTGACGCATGATTCACTAGCTGCTGGCCGTGACCCAGGAATGCTAGCTGCAGTTCTTGCTTTTTGTCCGGCTGCTTGTTGCCTCGTGCCATTCCCAAACATCGGCTGAGAGTTCCGCTCGCCATGCCACCGAGTTTTTTGTGGTTGGATGTTGTCCACTCCGTACACTGTCCTTCCCCCTTGGGTTGCCCCTGGCGCCCAGGCCCCGTCATGAGCGCGGAGCGCCGCGCCGCGCTCTTCGCGGACTCCCCGGAGCGGCCGCCTGCGGCGAGCCACGCGCCGCCTGCGGCGAGTCAGCCGCCGCAGCCGCCGGCGCGGCGCTCCCGCAGCCGGCGCTCCCGGCGCCGGAGCCGCAGTCGCCGGGGAGCCGAGCGAAGTTTGGGGCATCCGGTGCCCTCCGATTCTTTTGCGGCAGGCCATGGAAGTCACCAGAGAAATGGTCCCTGTTATAAAAGAATATCGTCCACCTCAGGTTCCAAGAAAAACCCGGACAGTGGAAGTGGTTGCTCTGGTTCATGGCTATATCCTTGTGGCGTGGAGATGGTCAAGGGTCGTGTTGAATGGACCCATGGCCATGACCAGAAGTTTTGATCAGATCCCAACGCATTGAAGAAGTGAAGAGATGCGGCTATTCTAGGGGTACCTTCCATTTCCATTCTGAACCCAGGGATCCGGATCTTTCTAGAATACCGGCAACAGCCCTGCGGAAATCGATCCGGTTTTTGAAAAGAACGAGGGCTGAAAAGAATGGGAGAGGAGTCAACCCCTGGAGCTATGGATCATTTGGTTCATGCTTCCGGGGCTCGCAGTATGCAAGTCAGGTTGCAGTGGCCTCAGCGGTCAAGCTGCTTCCTTTCTTGGTGTCCTGCTTTCTTCACGAGTTCGGGATCCCATAATGACGTTGTTCAAAAGCCACCAATATATGAACTACTAGCCAAACAGGAACGTGTTCGTTCTGTAGGGGTCAGTCCGAACTGCACGCTGAATGCCAGAGTTTTGATCCATCCAGCGCTTTCCTTAGGCCGACGGCGCAGCGGTAGCCGAAAGGCATGGTGGGTGGGTCATATGAGGCCAAACCGCACATGCATGGTTGTTGTTGGGAAACATTTTGCATTTTTCCTAATTGTGGTTCTGTGGGAAATCCCCACTTGACTGCTAAAATTTAAATGTTTGCTCCCCTTCCAACGTCAACCAAGCATGAAAGAGAGAGTTGCAAGCATCAATGTTCTTTTTTGCAGTGCTGGATGTTTAAGCACAATTAATCCAGTGTCTTGAACGCAGATAAGACTCCGAACACTCATTGCCCGGGCGTTGGGAGCTTGCACATGGGATGCGGCATGCCAAGACAAACTTGGTTGCTCTCATGTCCAAGTTGTGTTTTGCGATGGAGACAGCTCATTTTCCGGAGAACGGCCACGGGTGTCAGATCCAATTCTTCTCATCTCTCATGTCATCAAGCATTTTGTACGTTCTGCACGCAGCAACCATGGGTCGGAGAAAGCTCGCGGGCGCTCAGTTGCAAGAGCATGATGAGAGGCCCCTGGTTGGCCTATTTTCACGGAGAACCAGCATAAGCCAATCAGTTGGACCGATCCCTACATTGGACTCCCAGTTTGTTGCAAGTAATTACATCAGCCACAAACCATGGTATTACACAAGTTAGAGGGGGTCTTGTTTCCGACTCGCACGATTTTAGGTAGTCCACCTGGGCAATCACTGAGCTTTGGGGGAGTCCTCTAGGGTAGTTCCTTCATGTCCTTCTTTGGGAATTCTGGTCACTCACCTCCTCAGTTCCTGGACTTGATACTTTTCGGGTTTGGAGCATTTTTCGTGGTAAACAACCAGTTCGAGGTGAATGTGGGGCTGAGACTGGTATCGGGGTGTCCAATTCTCCAGGCCTCTTGCACCTATCACGTCTTGGAATATCCCTGTACATCGCAAAATCGGTTTTTCTTTTTTGGGAGGGGAGGTTTCACAGAAACAAAAAGGAACCCAGCCTGGAGGTTTATATATATATATATATTATACATATATATATATATATATATATTATATTTTGGCCCATCCACTCGATATGTGGCAAAAGTCCGTGGGTTTCCCCACGCAGGCCAGCGCTTCCCCGGAGCAGCCCAGGAAGCGGTTGCCGGGGCCCCAGCGCCTGTTGGAGCGTCCCGGTTCCGTTGGTCTGTCCGTCTTTCGGTGGGGAAGCGACCCCAAAACGGCTTCCGTGTTTCCCTTCGAAACAGGGCCAAGAGTCTTCCCTGCAAGGGAAGACCCTGTTCTGGTCCAGGTTGGTCTATTTCGAGTTGAGTTGTCCAAGGGTTGTGGGATCAAGGGGTTTCTCCCCACTTCTGTGATACAAGGGAATCCCCCTGTATATGAAGAAAATAGTCTTTGGGAAGCCCTTTCTGTTGTATCACAGAAGTGGTCATTCCCCACAGCCCTGACAGTTGTCCTAAATGGCCAGCTCTTCGTTTGCTCCTGCGGCCAAGCATTGGCTCCGGGGTTGAAGCTCACTGAGCCTGAAGATCGACTGTGAGAGCTTGTGTTTAAAGGATGGCCTGCTGTTTACAGAGCCTGGGGCTGCTCCACTTCTTCTTCTCCTTCTGCTTTTTGTTGCTTTGTTTTTTGGGGGGGGGGTGATAGTCGTAGGAATGAGAAAACAATCAAATAGACCCACACCGTCAGCAAGAGAGAGAGAGAGAGGTCGAGTTGTCCCCAATCAAACGAAAGTGGATGATGGGACTTGCGTAGATTTGGTGCAAACCGCAATTTAGTGATCTTTCAAGCTTTCGCACCGGGGTGACTGCAGCCTATGAACATATGTAGATATATTTTCTTGTTTGGCCAGCCATGTTTTTTCTCCCTCAATCATTGGCTTCTACGCCACTTAGTTGTGAATGGCCATGAATGGATAGGTGATAAAGCAGTGGGAATCAACCACTGGTTTCCGTGTAAGCATCCGTTTTCCACCAGTCACTGGCCACGCGGCTGCGTCACCGGCTTACGCGCTAGCGAGGCCGCGCGCATCCAACTTCTCCTAGCCTGGGGCTCAGAACGGATTCGGCGTGGTTGTTGGGAACCAGTTTTCCCCATTTTTGCTTGTTGTGGTTTAGTGGTTGGAATCCAACCACTGAACTGGAACTGCTTTTGGTTTTGTTAAATATAAATAAATAAATATATATATACATATATATATTATATATATATATATATATATATAAGTTTTTGCTCCCCTTCCAACGTCCCTCGCAAGTTGATGGGTGATTCCTGGTTCCCTCGCAGCCAGCCGCGTCGCTTGACGCATCGCTCGGCGGAACCCCGCGCTTTCGAGAACCGAGGCCCGAGTTTTGGACGGTGAGCGGCGAGCATCCTGGGCCCCGGAGCCCCGGAGCCGGCGTGCGCCGCGCAAAAATTCGGCATTCTCAACAGGCTGGAGAGAAGCATCAGCCAGGACGCCAGCCGGAAAATGGTTGTTTTTTTCACCTGAAGCCCCCTATTTTTGGGCGTCTCCGAGGTTATTTGAAGACCACTTGCCCCGTTTCGTACATGGGCGCTGAAGAAAGCGCTGTCCGGGCGCGAAGTCGGCTCTTCTCGGCTCCGGGCGATCCGAGGGCGCGAGGTCGGAGGTCCGTCGGTGCGCCTAGAAGAGCCAAAGCCATGTGCCAAGATCGAAGGTGTGGAATCAAACCTCGATTTGCAAGTTGCACCAGGATATGGACCGCAGGTTTTAGTCCTTGATTCCATTTGCCAAGGTTCTGTTTTGGGTGCCTATTTTTGACCCACAGCCATAGGTTTGGTTGCTGTGCCTTGTTGGTTTTGAAAGCCGAAAAAGCACACATTTGACGTGACATGCAGCAAATGACGGCAGCTCGCTGCAACATGAGCTTGCGCTCGGAAAAAAAAACAATGAAAAGGAAAAAAAACAGAGAGCCAAAAACAGAAAACAACAACAACACAAAAACTATTAAAACAAAACACACACACACACACACGGAGATCCCAGGTCATTGTTGGAATGCTTTGGTGCACAGACTTGAGCTTCCCTGCAGGGGAGTGTGTTATATCCTAAGCAGCTCGACAGCTGACTGTCGGATCTGGGGAGAGAAAAAGGAGAGGAGTCCGCTGGCGTGGGGGGCCGGGGAGCGAGCCGTGTTTTTTTTCTTCTCCCTGCATCTTGGCGGCTGGGGGGGAGGGAGGAGGAGGGGGAGGGAGCCCCATTAAGGGCTTATTTGGGCTCCCCTCCTCCTCCCTCCTTCCCAGCTGCCATGAATGCTGTGTGGGCGATTTGCGCTGTGGGGATTGATCAAAAGGTGCGGTGAACTTGGGATCACCAGGGAAGTCACCAAAAAACAAAGATGACTTCCCCCACTAAACGGGAGAAGTTACCGAGCAGAAGGCGAGGTCCTATAGGGTTGTTTGTATCTGCGGGTGACTTGTCCTGGAGACACAATTATTTTGCGGGCGCAACACCCAAACATGTTTTTTTTTTTTTTTTTTTTTTTTTTAATAAGAAACAAACGAATCATGTTTCCCAAGTGAGTAAACAACAGCGCTATTTCATCTCGTATACCCTTGAGGGCCACCAGGAAACATTATTGGATGACTACTGCCAGTCTGTCATGATGTGACATGATTTGGAGCTTGAGCAAGTTGAGCCACTGGAATTCCAAGGATATATATGTATGTATATATATTATGTGTATATATAATATGTATATATCTATATATGTATTTATAGCATAGCTGCTGTTTGGGTAAGTCCTTGGGCCTTGTTCACAGAGGCGATCCGCCGGTTGCCGCAGGCATTGCACACTTCTTCAGCGCACGGGTCTCGCGACGCGAACCGCGAGCATCCAACTGATCCACTTCCAGCCGGAATTGAAGCAAGCGGCCCTTGAGTGCCTACCATGCCCAAGTTCGTTCAATTCACGTTCCTTGGTTCCTGATCAACCCCTGGTTCCTTATCAACATGCCCAACATGCCCTCCAACCCTTGGTTCCTTATCACACACTTGGCCAAAGTTTGTTCAATTCAGCTAGGTTTACCTGACATGCACGTTCTTTCTTGAGCACCGCTGGGGCGCCCTCGGGTGACCAGGGCCTAAGGGGGACTCGCTCCATGTGGCGCGGGGCAGAGATGGCAGAGAGGCGGGGTTCCATGGGATGGGTTCCACGAGTTGGACAAAGTTGGAATTCAAAACGATCCGTTT